TTCCCTGCATTGACCTCAGATTGAGAGAAGAAATGCCCCTTTTTCATTTGGAGATGGATCAGTGGAAATCATTTTCAAATACCATTGACTATTCATAAGCTGAAAACAACCATTAATTCCTTGCAGCAGCAGTTTTCTTATTTAAAAGGAACATCATTGGTTCAGAAATAACTCCTAAATTACCATCCCATTTTCCTCCCTGACCAACAGGGAAAGAGAAGAACCATAAGTGCCCCATTGGCTGTGTAAAAAAGCTTTAAAAACTATCCTGAATAGTTCTCACCTTGTGTTGAGCCAAGGGTTCAGGAGACCCTTAAACCAGCACAGGAGGGAAAAGCTGAAACAGGACAGAGAGAGCAAAATCATTTAGCAGTCAAGATGATAAGAAAAATATCCAGGAGCTGCTTAGGAAAAGGGAAGATGTAATTTCAATCTATTGCAGGGGACAAATAAAAAGAATTGGAATTTTTTATTAGTTAGTATGAATCCATTTTAGCTGCCAGCACTTGCATCTGCTGGAGTTTTGGGGGTCGGTTTGTTTGGGTTTTTTCTTTAAAAAATCAACTGTTAAATTGCTGCTTGGAGCCAGAATCAAGGGGGTAAAAGAGAAGTAATATCAGTAAATATAAAAAATGTAGGTAACCATGACGACAACAAACTGGACACTCAGAGTCTTGAACAGAGCTCTAGAAACTGAAGCACAAAGAGGAACCCACCATGAGTTTCTTCAATAAGAACACCCTTGAGCACGAAGGGTAGGAGAAAGTACTTACCTGTAGTTGGATGGCAGCCTCAGGCCTCTACTGCTGGAACAGCCTCAGGATTTCTGCAAATTACAGAAGAGTCCCCAAAGTCAAGAAGCCATTTCCAACCCTGAATAACAGTGTATTTTAGTTGGTGTTTAAGAGACAGTTTTTCACAAGCCAAAACCAATTTTAAGCAACACGAGGTGTGAGAGGAAAAAGGAATTAAACTGCAGAAAGTGACAATTGAGAACTTAATAAAAATACTTTGAGCAGATGCCCCCAAAACCACAAGCTTAGGCTTAAAAAAAAGAAAACTGCAGGTTAGAAAAGCCTCCTGGCTTTGAAGGAAATGAAAGTCACAATAAAACAAGATAAATATTGTTTTCATTTCCTTGCTCTGTTCAACAGCATTCCCTTCATTCCCAGGCATGAGCTAAACCATGGAACAGAAGAAGGAAAAGGTGAGAGCAGCTAATAGAAATGAAAACTTGCACTTTAAAAAAGAGAAACAAAGGGCATGAAAATATTAATATGCAAGCAGAGCTGAAATACTGAGAGTTTTTCAAAAGTACCTTTGCTTCCCGCACTGTCCGTGGCAGCTTCGGACCAGCTTGGGAAGCAGGAGCAGGAGCATCACTCACGGCTCCCCAAAAGCACATTCCCAGATGGGAAGTCGTGAAATGCCAAGGGCAGGTTGTACACGGGAAAGCAAAGGACAGCAGCTGAACAGCAAAGCTGAAAATGACATTTTGAGTATAGAGAAGTACAGACAATTTCAGTAAATGCAGCTGTCTGGGAAAAAGGCCCAGGGCCTGTTTCGAGCTTATTAACGCCAATGGCAGGTTTTTGAGCCTGGCAGTGGGTAAAGACACTCCTTTTCTGGGTAAAATATCACAGTGATGGCACGAGGTGACCTTCAAAGCTGTGAAGGACACTGATCCACCCCTCTCAAGGACAAGGTCAGCAGGAACACACCCCACGCAGGGCTTGGCCCAAGCTCCTTCCCCTTGCCCAAGTCAATTAGACACAAATTCACTCGGGCTCCTGTGTTCTCCCCCTCCCCTCTCACAGCCTTTCACCAAACAGGTATTTAAAATAAGTATTTCCTTCCTCCATCACTTGCTAATGTCTGTTGTCAGCCCAAGGTGAGAGGGAAAGAAATTCCCGGAGCAGGATCCCAAGGCTGCCCGTGGCTTTGGAACCTGATGCTTTATTTCAGCAGCTCTGCTGGGTCCCACTCTCTCAAAGCTTCCTATTTCTTGCCAGCTCAGGGGCTCCAGTTTCAAGGTTTTCTTTACGGTAACTCCTGGCTGTCCCAAGCCAAATGTACATATTTTTCAGCGTAGATAAATCCCTTTCACTCACATCTGAGAATAAGACAAATCTATGGGCATTCAATACGTCTTACTATTAACAGAGACAGAAGCAAGGCAGCCAAGGCAATAAATTCCAGGAGAGAGGCTTCTCCCAGAGGACCAGAAGGAAGTAAATGAATAAAGGTACATATGTGAGGCATGGCTGAGTCCCTTACAAGACATCTGTGGAAGGGAGGGAGAGAATAAATCTTTCTCTTACTCTCAGAGGACCTGCATTAATCTTGCCTCAATTAGGCTTTTCTTACCTATTGCTTTCCCCCCGTGAGCAAGCAAATAAAAATCCATAGGAAGGGTGGAAAGAAGAGAGCCACAGCCAAGGCAGAATGTTCCCCTTTGGATGTCTGGAGAAGAAACACCTTCCATTTTCACTCCAGCAGGGTACAGAGTGTATCTCATGTTCAGTGACAGAAAGGCACAGTCACTTCTTACAGCCACGGTGCCGGGTTCACTCCTACACACACCAAAATTCCCGTGGTCTGTGTAAGGCAAATGTCCCTTCCCTGGGGAATTCTCTTTCTAAGGTGCTGACAAGTAGTGATCTGCTAATCTGACAGTGCCAGAAGGTATGTTTGTACCCCCACAGCAGAGCAGGCAAGAACACCAGGGTGCATCCATAGATGCCTTAGGTGTGTGGGAAGTGGTAATTTGGAGGGGACCTTCACAGGCTTCCACGTGCAACCTCCAGACATGCTAGTGTTGAGGCATTTAATCATCTCCTATGGATGGGCAAATGGCATAGCAAGCAGAAACAGGCACAAAAATTATTCACAGCTTTCTTCCCCAAATGCTGTTTACATTTGTTGAAAGCCCAATCTGCTGCAGTCAGCGAGATCTACCTTCTCTACTTCTGCCAAAAAAAAAGGAGTATGTATCTCTTCATCTGCCCATCCATCTACCCATCATCATCTCATGTATCACAGCACCACAATTCCCTGTAAGCAGCCTTGGATTAACACAACATTCACACCAGGTAGTGGTTCCCCACCCAACTTCTACTCTGAGCTTGAACTCTTGGAGGCTGGGGCCATCCCATATTCCATGTTTTCTCAGTGCCCAGCACAAGAGCAGCCCTGGGGTGACCTCCACATGGTCCTTTTCCCCTGCCCTTTGCTTACATAATGCAGATGATTCATTAATATGAAGTCGCCCGTAACACGGAGCATCTGGGTCTGCTTTTTATTTTTTTCCCAATCCTGTGAAGTTGTCAAGTCAGCTCTGGGATATTTTGTCTAAACTTGATCCTCAGAAGGTTGATGTAATTAGGATGGGAAACCCTTTCCAATTTTAGCTTTGTGGGGGGATAATTCCATGTTGGTATATGCTATTTCCTAACTGGGTGTTTGTGTCAGGAGAACATCTTTCCTCATAGCTGTGTCCTTCATGTAGTTTTGGAAAAGATAATCCTCAAGTCATTAACACTTTCTGTGGCCCTGTTGAGCTTGGCAGCGTTTTCTTACCCCATATTTCTCGGCCATTTTTTTTTTCCTATGCATATTCCCGTGAAAGGCTCCTCCATCTGTTTGGCATTTTAATGCTGGGATGAGGCTCTGCTTATTGGGGGATGTGGCTGTTTCCACAGAGGGCATTATCAGTTTTGCCTATAAAAATGTACCGGCTTTGTAAATTTGAGGGCAATGATCTATGGCCCAAATGCTGCTAATTCTCTCATTACTGGTCAAACAAGGACTTTTTTTCAAATGTCAGATAACAGATGGTGAAGAGAAATTTTATCTCCCCTTCTTCCCAGACTACCACTTGAGCTAGCAGGGAAAAAGTGAGGAGCGGGGAGAGCTAGACACAGATTTTAAACATATCTGGTTTTAATCAGCATTTAAAACCTGACCAGTTCTATAGCTAATTACAATGTTTTTCCTATTTTGGTCAAAATGTCATACTTTGAAATCTGGTTCAAAATTGAAAAACTAGTTAGACTTTATAAAGTTCATCTGTTTGTGGCTTTTTTAAGATGATGTCACAACACAATTAGTCAGTTACTCTAAGTTTTGATAACAAAAAATCCCCAAACAAACCAACCCCCAAATTAAGCTACATTGTAACAAATGTGTTTATATTTTTCTTAGCAAGGAATTACTGTTGCTGCAATTGTAGCAAAGTAGAGATAAACAGCTGAAAAAATGCCTATGGGACGCACTTCACAGCCCAGAATCTGATGTAAAGCCTAGAAACATTAATTAATATTAAACACTGCATCGTGTAAGAGGCAATTAGTACTTATATTACAGCTATATAGAAGGACACAACACTTTAGTCTGGCTGTATTAGATTATTGCATGGTTGGTGATTCTTAACCATTGTGAAATCCTTCTAACTCACCTCACAGTTTTCAGTCTTTAACCAAGATCTCTGTTAAGATTCAATTTTAATTGAATGCCTATCAAGTAATTGTTAAATATCGGACATTTATAAGTTTTCTTGACCTTGAACCTAATTATATATTTTATAGGGAGGCAAAGTAATTGGTTATGATAATAAACCCATAACCAGTTGATTATATACTGGATGACACCTTGATGCATATATCTTGCTATCACAAAAAACCCCTGTATGTAGACAAAAAGAAGAAGAAAATTCAAATAAAGCCCAGTCTAAGAACTGCATGTTATTGCCATGTCATGAGCCACAAGATTCCAAGAGTACCTGAAATTCCCTGGAGAGCTGAGAACCAAGACTGACTCAATTATTCATCTGCCTTTTCAGATGAATTCCCTGAACTGTTTTGTTGGGAGAATGAGGAAAATGTTTACTTTACTCTTATATTTAGTTAGTGCCAGAGATTTTATGCTGTATGCTCTCATTTACAGCAAAACCTTCTCGTCACTTGGATGCACCCACCTTTAGCCTGTTCCCAAGGCACGTCCCTCAGGAATAAGGAAAACGTTCTGTCTCACTTTTGGGCAAACCATGGCAATATCTTCCGCTTGCTTCTGTTCCAAAACTTCCCTCTACCGGAATCCAAGTGCCTTCTTTGCTCCCTTGATGGAAAAGATTTAAAATCTGTTTAAGTAACTGAAGTAAGAGCAGCACATTTTTCATCTTTCTCAGCTGCCTCTGCCATAGCTGCTCCTAATGCTGCCCCTGCATCCTCACCCCACGCTGGCAGATGCTGAGCCCGCGTGTCCGCCCTCCGGGGATGGAGCCATAAATGTCTTCCTCAAACCCTCATCCAGCACCGTTCCCCCCACAGCAAAACTTAATGACTTCGCACAGGAGTCCAAAAACAAGAGAGGCCCCTCACTAAGAGCAATTCCAGTTGGAGTTTGCTTGTCCTTGCTTGACCTCAGCCTCCTCAGCTTTGGCTCTTTTAAAGCCACGTATTCCACGGGTGGTGCTCATGGCATCTCCCTGACAGGGCTGAAAGGCAGCCCTGAGCAACCAGTTTATTATAGAGTAGATCTGTGACCAAAAAGGGGATGATTTCCCATTAAACTGAAGGCATGCAGAAATAGGATTGAATAAAACAAGTCCAGCTCATGTGAAATGCATGGCCTGAATGGTCTGGGCACCGTCCTTGGTGACAGTGGGGAATGAAGTTCATAGCATTTGGCATGTAACTGTGGGAGACTCGTGGTGTTAAGTGTTCTGTCAGTGTTTATGGGCTGGGGCAAAGCTTAATATGTGTTAGAAGGCAGACTGTAAATAAAAAGATATGAGTTGGTTCTGTTGGTTTGGTTTGTTGGGTTTTTTCTCCTGAAAACTCACGTTTTAGAGCTGATGCTGTGCTTGGTGAGAACCCAGCTCATGATTTCTGCCCATCTGGGTTGGCAGGACTCAGGGTTTGTTACCAGCATTGTGTTGCTGTGAACACTTCTACCAGTAAAACAACAAAAGCACAGAATCATGGAATCACTAAGGTTGGAAAAGACCTCCAGGTCCATCATCAAGTGCAACCTTTACCCAAACACAACCATGGCCACTGAACCCACTGAGTGAATTTTACATTCTGAAGATTGGAATTTGACTTGAGGAAAACACAGGAACATATTTTCTGTTCATTTTGGTGATACAGACCAACATAAAACTCAGGGGGGAAAAAAAAGTTTGTTCTGTGAGGTTGGATACGCTGCTAATAAATAAAAAATGAAATCAGATTACAAATACCAGATCCTCACGCAATGTAATTCACTTCCCTTCCACTGATTTAAGTAAGTATTAAATTGATTTAAAGGCAGCTCCGTCAACTTCTATCACCAAGGGGTTTGGTTCTGAATATCTAAGAACTTGATTTCTTCAAGTCTTTTGTATTTATCATTCCTGTGGTGCACAGAGAGGCTGAGCATGTCTCTGCCAGACAACTGAACAAAATCCAGATCCCTCACCATGTGACCTTGGCTCAGATCATTCCATGTATGATCATATCCACATATCGATGGAGAAGTAAATTTTTTAAATGTCTATCAAAAATATATTTTATATATATATACATGAAAATAAGTAAAACTATACAGATTATGTATATAACTTATTATATTATATATGTCTATAAGAATATTAACAAAAAATTACCAATTCCTTATGTCTTGATCCCATGCCTTGTCTTTGCTGCCTCACGTGTGTTCATTCTCCCTTCACACTGCCTTGCCCCTGAAGGACCAAGGTCTGTAACCAGAGAGAGAGAGAGTAACTTCTGTAAATCTCAAATTACAATAATCCAGGATTTAAGAAGTAAAATGGTACCATTACAGCAGATAATTGTAACTCTGGAGAAATAGGTCAGAGCCACAGTTCATCTCAGCGCTGCTACCAACAAATGAGGTCAGGTTTTGCTTTCTTTATGTGCTGTTGCTTTAAAAGAAAAGAGCATTTTTTTTTAATTCTGCATTGATGGGGAGTGAGTTCCCAGACAGCACCACTAGAAGAGATAAAGAGTAGGAATTAAATGTCTGGTCTGTGTGGCCTTGGGTATCCAGTCCCACCCACCACAGGCACAAGTCAATGCTCCTTTCAATATTCCTTATAAAAATCACAAGCATTGTTCCAATTCAGTTGCATACAATATGTGTGCAAACAACAGGATTTTCCAAACACCCTGAAATCGTAATAGCACTTTCCAAATACCCTCAGTGTAAAGGATAAGTGTGCAGGCTCCTCTCCACCATGGCATGTGCACGCTCGGGGTACCTCAGAGAGAGCGGTTGTCTCTGTGGTACAACTAAAAGAAATGAAAATAAGAAGCCCAGCACTTTCTGTAATTGCTTTTGTGGAATGTAGCCATTCAAGGAAGAATTTCGTGCAGCTGGTAAAGGCGTGAGACTACAAAAAAAATACAGCCGTCCTATAAATTCCCTGGGATCCCTGAGGAAAGCTCAGGAAACAGGCTATTGCAATGCAGATTTGCATGGTTCCCTGAGGAATACTGCACTTCCACAAATCCTTCCCTGAAGAGATTTAGCTTTTCAACAGTTTGTGCTCAAGTACAATTAATTTTGATGGCCCCTGCACGATTACAAGCCTAATGTTTAGGTTTGCTATCAATTACCACACCAGACTCTTCCTGGGTCACTATTCCATGAGTTACTATGGCTTTACTTATGTCATAGCCACCTTTACCCTCTCTGGAAATAAAAAGCTTGGAGCACACATGGGTATGTCTGAACCACTGCTGAAGTGTAAAGGAACAGTAATCATAATAAATAAATGAATAGCCACTCAAGGGTTTTGCTGTCAAGCATTAGAAGCATGGAAGAAATGAACGGGCACCTCCTCCGTTCTACATCCTGAGATACAGGCTCAATTTTGATTCAAACAATAGATGCTGATGTGAATAATAAGACCTGTGTGCAGGTCTTGTGTGCAAGCATCTGCTAATTAATGCAGTTTGTTAATGGCAAGTATTGGGACAGATGCTGGTATTTAGGCAGCTGCTCCCCATTTGTAAAAACCCAATCGCCCTGTGCTAGGAGCGAGCTGTTAGTTCTTTTCTGATTAAAAAAGATTATCAGGAACCCCTGAAAGCTTGCAGTCAAGGCTTCTTTAGGTTCTCTGCTTCGATATTCATCTATATACATCATCTATGAAATATTTACAGAGGAAACCACTTAAAACAATGAAATATGAATGAGTCCTTTGGTGGAGGCGACGCATTTCTCTGCCAGGTTTTACCCAGAGCGGTATTTTGGTGGTGGGGGTGTGGGTGGTTTATGTAGGGATGGGATCCTCTAATGAATCTGGCCAAGGGCAATCAATATGACAGTAATTAATTTAACTCCTTCTCCTTATTCTTCAAAGTGACAGATTTATGATGGGCCATGAAAAAAACATTAAGCATTATCTTTTTCCCTGTACTGGAGGCAGGGTGGGGAGATGAAGATAACTGGGCTGTGGCCATTCCCTGTCTGACACAGGGATCTGCTGGTCAGAGAGGGAAGTTCTGACCTCAAGGAAAAGGCACAAGGGAACAAGGAAGAGCTGGGAATAGCAGGAGAGTAGGCTTGGTCATGTGATCGCCTGGAACCACCACCAAATGACAGCTGTCACTAGGAATAACCACGGCATATTGGGCACTTCCCAGGAAAAGGCAGTGGGATTGAACCATAAAATCACAGAGCAACAAGCACACATTGCATTTGGTGGGGTTCTTTGCATTTATCTTTATTTGACCCCATTTATGAGCCATTTGAATTGCTGTACTTAGAAAGAAAAATTACTTTCCCCACAGCTTCAATTTGGTTTTTTCTTCTATTATTTTTCCCCAGATATCCTCCTCTTCCTTCTCTCCTTTTAATGTAAATAATAGAAGGATTCTAACAGCCATACCAGCTGCTGCAATTGAGAAATCAAAGCAATAAAAGAGCATTTAAGCCACCACTTGTATATTCATTCTCCCTCCCTTTCTATAAAGTCAGCAGGTTTCTTACATTCTTGATATTATATAATACATTTTTATTCTTGACTATAAGTATTTTTCAAGGTTGCCTCTGACCCCACATGCAAAAGTTTCCTTTATCTTTAGGCTTCAACAACTTAGTGACCAACACAATGAAACCCAGAAAGCCTAGGAACCCCTGACAGTTCACATCAACTCAAAAGCTGCTCCACTGAAATTTGATAGAATTAGCTGCAGTTGCAATATTCAGATCACTACAGGAATTAAACAAGGGCTTGACTCACTTTTTATGGATAAAATGTACAATAAACACTTTCCTAAAAGGGTACAAAGACAGTAAACTGTGCGTGTGTGTTACACTTCTTTTTTTAGTACTAATTTACTTGATCAAACTAAAGGAACTACCAAAGCTCGTGAAAAACCATGATAGTTTCAATTTAGACCACTTCAGTTTAGTGAGCACTTTCAATTTAAAATACACACTCCAGCAATTCCTCTCGACCAAACACAAAATACTTTCCTTTACAGCTGCCCAGAATAATACAGGATTTGAGCTCTCTTAACTCTTACTCTCCAAACTCCAAGGGGAAAATATTATTGCATGTTGAGAGTCATTACAGCGATTCCAGCCAAGTTATTAAAAAAAAGAAAAAAAAACCCTGTAGTTTTCACCAGTCTGTGATGATACTTTCTGAGCAATAATGGAGCTTTTGGAAGTTTTTGTAGGTAAGTGTTTTCAGCAGCTGTGTGGTGACCCTGTCACGCTGCACCTCATTGTACCCACTCTGGAATCTTTCAAAGATGGAAAGCTGCACTTCGAGCACGTGCAGATATCAGACAGAAGTCTTGTCACGGTTTAGTAATGCAGACTCAGAGTTTGCAACCTGCTGAGTGCCTCTGCACCTCACCTGCCTGGCCATTTCCCTGTGTTTAGACTTGGACAGGCCAACTTTTCCCAAGCATTTCTCCTCCTAAGGATGAGCACCACATCACCACTCCCAACTTACAACTCCCACAGCTTCCCAGGAAAAACCACTTGATGATATGCAATATATGGAAATCATATTACCATACTCTTACCATACATGCTGGGTGCAAATACTGGGCAGCTTTTGCCTCTTCCAACTCATTCCCTTGGCTGCTGCATTCCATAATGCCCAATCCTGCCAGGCTGTGGGGTTTTGCTGCACTAAGGTGCTGCTTTCACTTTGAACATGGATTCTCTTTACTCCTTTCACTTACATGATTGAAAGTCTTCAGCCCTTACACCATTACTTTCCATTTTCTGCCTGGACAATTTATTTTACATCCAAAAAGAAAAATGAGGGGAAAAAGGAAAAAAAAGTAATACCTTAGCAAAAGATGAAAGCATATGTTCCTTCTTTGTGATACCACATCCACTCTGGGAGCAGAAAAGGTTAGCAAGTCTCTTCTATCTTGAATATATTTAGTAAATGAAATCTCTGTCTCATCATTTAACTGATTTCCATACCTCATTGATACTCCACGAGGAAGATAACATAAAAACTGGAAAAAATGTGTACTCCTTCTTCCCAGTGTTTGCTCCTATATATTGTTTCCTGAATAATGAATACCAGTGCATGGCTATCTTATACCTGTCATCTGGTTTTACTTTAGTCATCCTGAAATACCTGGGAGCTGTTTTTTAATTGTTTTTACACCCCATTCAACCAGTAAGTCATAACATGCAGATCAGCTAAGCGAGAAGAAGAAAAGGTCAGGACAATCAGGAAAATTTTTAAAGGGGAGTATTTAGTGCAATCAAGTATTTGTTAATGCTTTGCCCTTCTACATGATCACTATTTTCTGTTTTAAAGTCATTTGTTGCAAGAAAAGGATATCTCCTATTCCTGAAATACCTCAAGAATGCATTTAGATACTTCCTTAGGTTTAGTATACTTGGGAAAGTTGTCTCAGAAGCCTATTAGTTGACTTTTACTCCTTTTTGACTCACCTACACTGCTGGACACAAGCCTTTGACGTAGCTGTAATTAAATGCTGTTGGTTAATTTCTATCTGAATCCAACTGGAGCTGAGGCATCCCAAAATAAAGACAGGCTCCAGGATGCCTTCTGGGAGTTGGTGTTGCATCCTCAAAAGCTGGAACAGAACTGTACCAAAATTATATTTCTATATGTGATTTACTCTTAATGCTGAGGCCAACTTTTAATTCCTGGACCCTGTGCCAGTCAGACTTCACATCTCATCACTCCCCATCAACACTCATTCTTACTCTGAGATTACACTTTACTTACAATAAATCCACCAGCCTGGTGCATTTTTTTTACTGCAGTCTTCTGGCTAGTAGTAAAGCATTCTAATTTATTGAGCCAAATCTTTACATTTTCACAGAAGCTTTACTCACCCCTTAAATTTGCCTTGTGAAATCCGAATAATTCCAGTGTTATACATTAGAAAATAGTAAGTCAGACTTCTGCATAAGAATTACTGACAAACTATTTGCTGACCCAGCTCACTGCTCACACATACCCACAATCACACTGCTATACAGGTATTTTTTTAAACTCTACGAGACCTCTCTGATGGTTTTTTTCCTAAATCAACCCCAGTGGGTTAAACAGCAAGGTCAGGGTTATGTGGTTATTACAGTTGCCAGGATTAGGAAAAAAATATCTATCATTTCCCACAGTGAAATGAGAAAATTCAGTAATTCCAGTAAATAAATAACACCTCTACTGCCTGAAAGCAAAATAATTCTGACAGGAACGGGCTTAAAAAGGGTTAGTTGTATG